TGTAGGTATGACGTAGTTTGTGTGAAAAATTTAAACATCAATTCTTTAAACTCTGTTAGTTACATGGTTGTGATATTCATTGGTAAGAAGAGTCATTCTTTTTTTTGGCAAGTTTAAAATACAGCTATACATTTTTATTGCTGACTAGACATGTAAGATGGGCAAATTTATTACCATTGTAATTCGGAACTTTTACAGACTTACCTATACTAAAAACAAACCATGTGAAACCAAATTCATTAAGACCATATCTTAATATTTTCAAAATAAAAATTTTATAGCTTGAGTTCTACATAGCTTTATGTAATTTTATGATGTTGATAAACCCATTTTTTGTCTATATACATCTACATGCATTTGTTTGATCAATTATGCACATGTAAATTCTTTGTACAGTTTGTGTTAGTTATATTTGTCAGAGGCTTTAGGTTTCTCATTTCATTATTTCTCCCTAGGAGTAATATAGCAATTAATAAAATCTTTGTACAATACAATACACTGTACATGTACATCTCTTTAAAAAAATAAGAGTAATTTGAATTTGAATTAATTTTTCAAGGAATTACAGTTGTATTTTATTTTTAAAATTTGTATCTTTGACAGCATGCATTAGCAGCACTTATGTAGTCCTTTGCTTTTTTCTTATCATGAGAGGGCTACATTCAGCTGTAATTTCCTCTCTTTGAATACCAAAATGCATGAAAATCAAGTTTTTCTTTCCTTGAGGTTCTGTAGAATAAATTTTAAACATTCCTATCTATAATGAGTATAATTTAGTGATTTAATATGTCAAATTATGTCATCTTTAATTATACATTTACAGATGTATTCATTGTCAAAGTGTAGCATTCTAAGTCTCTCAAAATATTGATTACTTGTTTGTGTAAAAAAGGGTGATATTATTTAATATGTTTTTTATTTAAATATTAAACTTGAACAATAAATTGAATTTTAAGGACTTTCATAAGAATTTTGTTAAATCTATAATCAGGCTATAAGCTGGCTTGATAAGTGTTGAGTCTTAGTTTTTAATTAAGGTACTGAGTACCCTGTGTATAAAGCATGAATGGATTTGACAGTGATTTAATGTTTGTGTTGAGTAATACAAAACCATCTTGCTTCCATCATCACTAGACACAGGTTTTGGATCTATCTTGCTTCCATCGTCACTAGACACAGGTTTTGGATCTTCAATTTCCACAAAATTGTGAAAAAGAATGGAGACACAAACTATGGCTTGTGGGGTTGTCTAACTTGTCTTTCTTCATGAATACAAATTAGTCATTTGGTAGCTTTTCCACTGGTTACATTCTGTATACTTTCATTCTAGTGTATATGGACTTGCTTCAATAGTGTATGTTGAATTTAACAAGAAGTTTTGTATAACATTGATGCCCCCAAAAAATTTTTGGTATCAAACGGAAGGACTTGTCACAAGAAAGACGTTTGTAAAATATTAAGGCCTAAGTAATAACTAATGGTCAAGGCTAAGTTTTTTTTTTAGAGCAGATCAAACTCAAAGGTAAAGGATAAAAGGTTAAGAATATCTACATTAAAACACGCCTGTAATGAAGTCCCAAGAAACGGACGATTTTAATTCGTATTTTGTTAAAGATGTTTAGTGTATAATTTACATTATAAAGTTAGTGGGGGATGAAAATAACTTCACTGTAGGAATCAATTCATTATCATCCAGTTAATTATACTAAGCGTGTTTTACTGTGTACCTATGGAAAGGTCTTGTCACAATAAAAACTCTCGTGAAGTATTAAAGCCCAAGCACCAACTTCTCAAAAGTATGGAATGCCAAATACGACAGGTAACTGCCAACTGTCAGCTGCTTACTGCCAACTGCCACACATATTTGAATAAATTTTATTTTTATTTTGATATTTATGTAATTTTTAAAAAAAAAAGGCGCGGATCTATAGGATATTTTTCCAAGAAGGTCACTCTAGTAAAAAAAAAAAAATCCAACCCAGAAATTTCTTGACAAGAAAAAATACTTAAAGTCCTTTCTTAAATGTGAAAATTTATTTCGGCCGGGGAGAGGGAGTTCTTATGCGTCATACCATCATGTGTATGACATTTTTCATGCCAACTTAACACGAATCCACATTTTCGGTTGGGGAGGGGGGAGGGGTTCTAATGTCCCTTTTAGCTGATTTATTTTATACATTAAATAACTTTTAGTTGGTTTAGTTTGTGCATTAAATAACTTTACAAATTTCAGAGGGGTGTTCCGGACCCCTCTCTCTAGATCTATGCATGTAAAACATATTTTATTTGTACAAACAAAGAGATATAAATGTTTGATCGGCGTTTTCTAAGTGGAGGGTCCAAGGTCGGTTATACTGGTAGTTCGTTTAGTTTATTTAACGTATGACTGTACAAATTTTAAATCCCCCCCCCCCGATCTATGCATGTGAAACATTTTAACACAGAGAGATATACATCTTTAATTTGAGGAAATTTTTAAGTATAGAGTATAAATGCAAAACAAAAATTTATTTTCAAAACAACTTTCTCTGCGAAACGACAAATCTTTTTTGTTATTATTCTCTCTTCAAAGGTTTTGTTGCCTCCGGGGGAGGGGGAGGGGCTTCTTTAAAGATTAAAAGCATTTCAAATAGGAAAACAAATTTAAAAAAATCAACAATGTACTCTATCAACCGCATGTATTGAATATTACATAAGATAAAACATATTGGTAATTTTATTCAATTCAATTTTACCACGATTACCCCCTTGGAAGAAATGTCCTGGATCCGAGCCTTTTTTTCCCCCTTTTTTGTGAAAATTCATATAAATATCAATGCAAATATAAAATTTATTCAAATATGTGTGGCACTCGGCAGTAAGCAGCTGACAGTTGGCAGTCAGCAGTTGGCAGTAAGCAGTCAGCAGTTGGCAGTAAACAGTTGGCTGTCGTATATATGGCATTCCATACAAAAGTTATGGCGAAGTTTTTTTTTTTTTTTTTTTTTTTTTTTTTTTGCAAAAGTAGGTCAAACTTCAAGGTTTAGAGGTCAAATATGTTGGTACCCTTGTCACAATTAAGGAATTAATATGTGAAATATGAAAGCCATAGCTCCAACCATCAAAAGATTTAATTAGGCAAGGTTTTTGTGGACAAACAGCTGCAGACAATTAGCTAGAGAGACAAACGGACCGGGCAAAAACTATATACCCTTGAATCTTAGATTGCATGCATCTAAATAATATATGACCCATCATGACTTATTTGTTCACCAGAAGAAGATTTTAAAAGACATTTCCAATAGATATTCTTCAATTGAATTTTATTATCAGTTTGAACAAACTTGATTCTACGCTATCGGAGAATGCTTCCATATAAATCTGACCAATCAAGAATTGGCTGTTCTTTGAACATGTAATGATTTGTTGTATTCCTTTGTAAATCTTGAATAACTCATTGATGTCCCTCCCTACCCTGGAATTATCATTAAAACAAACTTGATTTTGCACTACTCGTGCTACTTTTGGATGATTTTACATGTACTCTGTACGTTTAAAGGTACTTGGACACAGATTTGAAGTTAGTTTTACTCTATAAAATTACGACTTATATAGTTGTCAATCAAACCCGCCAAAAAAATTTAGTTTTAATAACTTTTATATGAAATAAATGTTTTGATTAATTTTTGAGTGAAATGCTCTTAAAATGTATAATTCGTGATACTATACAGAAAATATTAACTTAAAATCTATGTCCAAGTACCTTTAAACTTTGGTCCCAATGGTTCTTGAAAGGAAGGTTTTTGAAAGATGTCTTTGAATTTTCACCAATTTGTAATCATCTCCCCATGAAGAGGGTCTTACTTTTTTTTTTATATATAGGTTGAATAATGAACAAAATTACAATCTTCTTTATTTCTCTATCAAAAAATACTTTTGTAGCAGTAGTTCTTGAGAAGTAAAAATTGTGAAAGGTTTATGACAACAGCAACAACGGACAAATTTAAAGCATTCTGAGCAGTTTGAGCTTTCAGCTTAGGTGAGATAAAAAATATGAACGCAATCGCATCTCGTGTCTCTCTGGAAAGTTGGCTTTTTTCTGTCGGTCAGAAACAAGAGAGTTTCTTGTTCTTTATCCTCGCCTTGATCAACGCGTCATCGGTTATTCGGCTGTTGTTGGACATTCAGTGGATAACAAATTTTGACGGGTGATTAAATTTATGCAGATAAACACTGTAAAAACAGAACCACTGGAAGTGACAATGTTGCTCAAAAATGATGTAATAGATCGGGAGACGTGAGTAACTGAAGCGACTAAATTTTGTTTACATGTATGCATGTGCATTAAAATTTTACGTCTGAAATCTTCTGAAGCCAATATAGCTCTGTATTTAATGGAAAGCATAAAAAATGATTGAGGAGATTGATACTAGTAGTTATATTGTGAAATCTGAATAATATTCCTTATTTATATATCTGTATACATGTACATACACATGCGCCAAACAAATTAACTGTGGATAGCTAAACAACTTTTTAAATTTCCATTAACTAACCATTAATTTGGAATTTTGATCTCAGTATGCTTATCTAAATGTTTGTGATTGTCCTTTGAATAATTTTTTTTTCATCATATTGATAGAATAAACTTCTACAAAAGCTAAAACGTGACATCCTCCAAGTGAGCGTGTTCGTCTGACTTCATTGATAAAATTGCGAACTTCAGTGCATATTCCAAACATTTTATAAAACATCAGAGCTGAAGATCTTTTGAAATCTTTTGATTTGGATTTTTTTTATTATTATTATTTCTTCCCCCTCCCCCTTTAATTTGCCAAAAGTATAATAAACTTCACAAGCTTTTTTGTTGAAGTACGCAATATCATCGTTGAATTTTTTTTTCACCTTTGTTTTCCAAACACTGCTTTCCTTGCACACGTATACCCGATAACAACGGAATAGTCGATAACGCGTTTAGCAGCGTGTTTCATGCAGAAAAAAAGTCGGGATCGAAATACAGATTTTGTTCAGGTACTTCGTCGTGATGAAATTTCAATATTGTAAATTGCAAACGTTACAGTAAAGTTGTGTAACTATGTTTTGGGAGCCGAAGAAGGATTCGTTGCACAGGGCATAAATGTGAAGAAGGTATACATTACAATACATTGATACATGGATTGTTGGTTATGGTGTGATATGTCTTTGAAATGTTAATGAGTGTTATGACCAATCCACTGACCAGCACAGCTGATATGTCGCTATCGCATATAACTAACAAGAGTATAATATTGCCATAGATAAGAACATGAAAAATTTAACAAAATGAAACTAATAATTCACTACTGATGTAGGGATTTGGTAATGTAATTGATTACTCTGAAGTTTTTATTGACTTGAACAGTTAAGCGTGTTATGTGTGGTATTGGTAATACATTGAGGATGTACAGAGATATAGAAAGAAAAAGAATATATAGAATATAATTAATGTAGAAAGCATAGAGAAAGAGTATGTCATCCAATTACATATTATTAAGCAATGAATCATTATTTTTTGAAAGATATAGTCTCGTACTGCAACGATGTGTGCAAACAAACTGAGAAACGCATGTTTATAATAGCACGTTATGAAAAATTGTTTGCACACACTGTTGCAGTTATGAGACAATATCTTTCAAAAAATGACCATACATTCATTCATATGCCTTAGTGTTAGATTAATATGAATACATACTGTACTCCTTATCTACAGACAGACAGGTAAATGAAAAATCACAATGGCTGCAAATGGCCCAAATGATTTTGGATGTGACCAACTGAGAAGTGAAATGGAGAATTCACAGAACAAACCTGAGCTCCTCGATGTCTCCTCCAAGTCAAAGACCAAGTTCAAACAATCGAGAGAAGATTCACAGAAGAAATCGGAAGAAAGTGCCTCCTCCAAATCGAAGACTAAGTCCAATAAATCTAAACAAACTGTGGGCAGTTATACTCAGTTACTAAGACAACACAGGAGAAGATCACCAAGAGATCTGGTAAAGTGTAAAGGGAAAAATGCCTAATCATTTAACATTATAAATTGAGATCTTAAAACTGTTATACTGTACATTTATCAGTTTTGCATGTGCCTCTTTCCCCTTCCTTTTATTTTTACCAGAATTGTTGTTAAATATTGAGTGTGAAAAATTTTTGCTTCATTTGAGATTTGTAAATATTTTTTTTTAGTAAGTTTTCAATATGAATGATCCCAAAAGTATAGAGATTCTCCATGGGAAATTGGATGCATACCAGTAATGAATAATATATTTATTTATAGGTAGATGTAGAAGATAAGAAAATTGATAAACCAAACAAGAAGAAAGTATGTGAAATGATAGCAGAGTCAGCACAGAGATCGGTAGGGAAGGAGGCAAAGACTAATGAAAGTGTGCATATGAAGTTAGAGGAGGATCTTAGGGAGCGTGCATTAAACAGTGGTTGTAATATACCAGTGGATGTAAAATCTAGTGTAAAGAATGATGACACTGGCATACAAGATGAAAAGTTACAAAAATATGAAGGACTAAATGATAGTCTGTTATTAAATGATCAGACAGCTAATTCCATAGATCAGGTACCTCAGAGTAAAGAGACTGAAAATAAAGGTAATAAGGTGAAAGGTCAAAAGGAGAAGAGGCCAAAAAGTGGGGGGAAGTCTAGACCAGGGTCAGGGGGGTCAGAGATGACAGAAAAAGGACAGAAAAATGACAGAAAGGGCAAAAAAGAAGAAAGTTATAAACCTCCCAATGATTCTCAGACTGTTAACAAAGATAGGCCTAAAAGTGGAAAAGGTAAACAAAAGGAAAGAGAAAACCAGGAAATGGCTAGTGCCTCAGAAAATCCACAGGATGAAGATGGCAAGAAGAAAAAGCCAAGGAACAGAAGATTTAAAAGGCATGATCAGGAAAATGAAAGTAGACCAAATAGTGAGAAATCGCAGGAGGGTCTAGATGAAAATGAAAGTAGAAATGGTGGTTTGAGTGGAGAGGGAATCTATAAAGGAAGAAGGTCTGAGCGCCCTGGGAGTAGTAGGAATATACAGGAGAGTGAGAAGGAAGAATCCATGGAAAAACAGGACAATACACAAGGGAAGGGTCAGAATAGAGGGAAAAGACAGAATAAAGGTTTGTTTTTGCTGTACTGTTTCTTTTAGATTTTTCTATGATTTATCATTTTATTTGAAAAAAAGTCAATGCATTATTTACTGGAGCTAGAATGGCAAATTGTTGTAAAATTAAAACAAAGTTAATGGACTGAATATTTTTGCACTGAAACACACTAACAAACATATACAGTCTAGTTAAGTATATCAATAAAAAACTACATGTATACATATCAAGTAAAAGACATTGTATATTGTGTTCAAATTTCAGGTCAGCCACAAAACAATAACAGAGGACAGTCAACTAAACCCCAGGTACAAACGTACAATTTTTCTTATTCTAGTTCAATACGGGAAAAATAAATTACTAGTCGAAATCTTTTCTAAGAAGCATACTTGTTTGTTTTAAAACTCTAGAAGTCAATTATTAGTAAACAAAAATTATCTTAGAAGTATTTACTAGGTCAGTGGGTAGAACTACAAAAGTAATTGTTAGTATGTAACTTAACTATAATGATATAAAGATAATTGTTTGTATGTAACTTAATTATGATGGATGTTTCCATTTTGTATTTTATAGTCTTTGTTTGAGCCGTATTGGTCAGCTGAGGAGATTTCTGCTGGACTGAAAAGAGGGGAACTCCTGGAGGTATGAAAGATTGTTAGCTAACTATTATTGAGATTATAATTAGTGATACATGTTGTATAAGCCTTTTTAACAATTATTGAATTATTGAGTTACATGTATATGTAAATTTCACATGTTTCATAACTGCATTATTTTTGAACTTCTTGGTATGAGTGTGTAAGTTTTATGGAATTAAATTGTGTTCACTATAATTTTTAATAAATATTTTTTTTTAATTTCAGGGACAATTTAGGATAAATGTAAAGAATTATGAAGAGTGCTTTATAGATCACCCAGTGAGTACAGGATTTTTTTATGTGTATAAAACTGTATATAGTGCACAAGGTTGATCCTTAAGAAAACTGAGCATAACTTTACTAAGTATATTTCATGCATATTTGATTAATGGTGGTTAAACTATTTCTGCTGAAAGACTGTCTGAGCAAACATGTTTACATGTATATGTATGTCCATTGAGCATGTTTGGAATGAAACAAAACCAATGATATGATATAAACATGTACACCAGTGAGATGTACAATCAATGTACAATTCACTTGTCCACTTGATACACAAACAAAAGGGGAAGAAAGATGAAATATGTACAATGTATGTAAAATCTTTAAAATTTGCACTGGCTATTATTATCATGATTATTTTAAGATAGAAAAGATGATTTTTTTTGGTTGTCTGTTACAGGATGGGAAGAGGGACATTCTTATCTCGGGGACAAAGGATAGGAACCGGGCATTTCATGGGGACGTAGTGGTGGTCCAGCTCAAGGACAAGCTGGAATGGAGGGTCAGTGTTCACCAAAGCTGTCGGAATTTTACTTATGCCATGAATGTAAAATGTTTCAGACAGGGTTAATTTATGCAAAGTTTGTGAGTTTGCAGCAGTAAAATAATGCAAAAATATGGCAAATATTTTCACAGGCTAGATTCTTTTAAATCATACTGTGTTTTTCTTATCTTCACAAAAAATCCCTAAATAGAGAATAAATTATGATAAAATTATTACAAAAATTTTCACATGTTCAGTAGATTTTATACACTGTATCTGTAAATGGGCTAAAATGATTTTTTGTACTTTTAAATCTTGCCGATTCCTTACAACAGCCTCAGTAGATTTTAATCCTGTCCAGACTTCAGTATCTTAGAAATGCATTAATGATTCATTACATGTACATGTACTAATAATCTATCTATGAATGTAACTTAAATTTTAAGGTGCATGAGAAACACTTGACAGATCTGGAAGAAGAACACAGACAGAGATGTGAGGAGGACGATTCCTCAGTTGGTGATGATTCCAGTGTTGTCCCTGATGTCATAGGTGCCACTGGAAATAGCAACACTGAGGCCATGGGTGCCACTGGGAATAGCAAAAGTGGCAGTCAAGTTAACAGTCAGAAAAACACTCCCAAATCCACTCCACAGAAAAAATACCTCTCTGTACATGGGGCCCTAACTAACAACAGCCCAGTCATCAAAAAAATATTTCATGAAGAAGCAGAGAAGAAAGATGAACATTTGGAAAGCAAATTGCTACAGCCAACAGCAAAGGTAAGGGAAAGAATGGTCTGTCTCAATATCTTAAACCATCGAGTATCTCAGAAGTTTTTTCCTTGGACTGATTGGCTTCAAGATAAAGAGGTTCAACTGTATTATCTTATTCCATTGTACTTGAAGGTAGTGGCCATTCTGGAGAAAAGAAACAACAGAGCTTGTACAGGAAACATCAGTTTGATGACTGACAAAAACAAAAATTGGGCGTTTTTCAAGCCCATTGACAGTAGAATGCCTAGAATGAGAATTCCAATGTCGGAGTGCCCAAAAGGTAATTCAGATTTTGGAGTACTCTGAAAATCTATTCATTGTGTATTTATAACTCAGTTATTTTGCAAAAAGCATCTTTTCATATTATTTTATACAGATTTTTATGAAAGGCCAGATGACTACAAGAACACTTTATTCATATGTAGAATAATAGAATGGAAAGATAACATGCAGGCTTTTGGGTGAGTCTCTGCTAGTCCCTATGAAATAAATGTGAATTGCTTGGGAAAAATAATACAAATTAACATTGAAAAATGGATTTTTTAAGGGGGGGGTTATTTCTTTGAAATAAATAAGTTAATTTACTGATATCATAAATTAACCATTACAAGCATATTAAGAGAATTGTGGTTCCCCTGCTTTCACAGTCTTATTGGCATATTGTAGCTGTCTGTTTGTTTCTCGAGTTCTTCAATCTACTTTAACTCACAAAAAAATTAGTCACTGCGAACCAATCATTTTGCTTAGAATGTTTCCTCAGTCGCAAATATTGATCGTTGCCGAATGAATTTGAATTGCGAATAAAAGATGGCTTGATAAATAGTGTAGTTGGTTTACAGTAATGCAATGTGAAAAGTCTTGGGTTTTATTTCCATCTAAAACATGTTTGGGGGACAAAAATAACACAAGCAGAGGTTCAGTAGAAAAGGGATTCCTGAATAATGCATGAAACTATCGGTAAATGATTGTCTGTACTGTAGGTACATCTCTAAACTCTGTGAATGCAAACATGGGCATTTCTTATATTTTTTATTAACAGTAGCAGTATGGACTGAGATTGAGGTCTTTTTATGAGCTTGGATTTTTTGTTAGGTCACTCATGAAGAGTCTGGGAGAGGCAGGACAGATTGAGCCAGAGACAGAGGGAATGCTGATTGAGAATGATGTAGATTCCTCAGAATTTCCTCAAGAGGTACTTTGAAAATCATTATGGTAATTGAAGCACCTAAATAACCTTGTAATTGAGATTTAAAAGCCAGAATTATTTGTTGTACCATCATGTATAAAAATTGTAGAGTTAGTAAATTTTTTGTAGGAATTTTCTTGGAAGATCCATTTAAATGTGATTTTAAATATACAGTATAATTATATAAATTTCAATAATTCTGATAGGGGATAAACAAAGGACAGACTAACCATTTTTTGCATTTTACTGTGTCTAGGCCATTGACAGTTTACCTGTCCATAGTCTGCCCTGGAGGATTCCAGCTGAGGAGTATGAATCCCGGCGGGATTTCCGATCCCAGTGTGTGTTCACTATTGATCCCTCTACAGCTCGGGATCTAGATGATGCTCTATCCTGCGAGAAGCTTCCCGATGGTAAGAATTCTTCTGTATCTTGGATTGAGTCCTATTTACCATGTAGAAAATTTGTGTATATATCATATCATATGTACACGTATATTGTAAGCACAAAAGTGTGCAAAAATTGATTTTTAGAAAAGAAGTCAATGATTTTCAATCTCTGTTGCTTAGGTAATTATGAGGTGGGAGTTCACATAGCTGATGTCAGTTACTTCCTGAAAGAAGGAACCCTGCTGGATAAAATAGCAGGTCACAGAGCTACTAGTGTCTATTTGGTGCAAAAGGTAATCGTTTAAATATTGATTTTATAATAAATGGTTGAAGGATTATAATTTGCCTTTCAGTAAGGAGGCATTCATCAACTGCAGAATCATATAATTTCAAGAGTAGAACTATGAGAGCATTTAGTTTTCATTTTATCATACATCTCATTGAAATATACAATAATTCAATTAATGGTACACCTGTATATGGACATATTTTAAGATAGACATAATTTTTTAGGTAATTCCTATGTTACCCAGAATTCTCTGTGAGGAGCTTTGTAGTTTGAATCCAGATGAGGATAGATTAACCTTCTCTGTGGTTTGGAAAATTTCAGAGAAAGGAGAGGTAACTATCAGATTTAGACCTTCAAACCTTCAGAATAACATTGCTTCCATTGGCAAACATCTTAACAACATAACAGTTTTGTGGGGTTCATTGGTCACAAAACCTTGACATTGGAAACATGCTTGGCAAAATAATAAAGAGGAAAAAGTATGCAATAAGGCTAGAAAAGAATATCCTTCCCAAATATGGACTTTGATCCATTATCTTTTACTTGATCTACTGAATGCTTTCTTTTTTATTGGACAGATATATGAAGAATGGTTCGGTCGATCAGTGATCAAGTCTTGTTGTAAACTGGCTTATGAACATGCTCAGGGATTTATAGAACAAGCTGATAGAGAATGGACCAAGGAAGAGTTGCCTCCCATATCTGAGAAATTCTCTGTACAGGAAATTAAGGAGAGAACTCTAAATCTACACAAAGTAGGTCCTTGTTTTTTTTACCATGATTATCTTTATAAAAAATTAGAGATACAAGATCTTGTTAGTGCAATTGAAAACTGAGAAGATAATTAATGCTAAATATCAAGATTTCAATAAAAAACAGATAGCAGTGAATCTCCGGAAGCAGCGTATGGATAGTGGGGCACTGAGACTGGACCAGGTCAAGTTACAGTTCTGTCTGAATGATGAAACAGGGCTTCCTAACGGCTACAGTATCTACCAACAGAAAGATAGTAACAGGTAAACAAAAGTTTATTTACCATTGAATGGTGTATTCTACAAGAACCTTTTAGATTTAAAATTCAAAATATAAAAGGATGTTGTAGATAAACAGTAAAACACAGTTATAGCCAACGGTCTTATAAAGAATTGATGGTTACAGCAAGGTGATTTTCATTCCATGTGACATTATTATGTATTGTGTACTTGACGGATGTAATGGATTACACTTTTTAAATATAACAAAGCAAAATCATCTATCCCTGGCACTTCATCATGAGCATGATTTACTGTAAAGTGTTTCCATTTGAATCTTTTTAAATTGAGCTTGGACCATTTAATCAAATGAAAAAAAAATCCATGCTTTGTTTTTGTTTTTTTAACAACCTTTTATACATGTTTGATTATCTCGTATTTAGATTGGTAGAAGAGTTCATGTTGCTGGCCAATATGGCGGTTGCTCATAAGACATATTCCGTGTTTGACAAACAATCCCTGCTGAGACGTCATCCACCACCAAAATCTAAAATGATGGAGGACATGGTCAGTTTCTTTTAAACTTAGAAAAAAATTCCCAAGAAATCATTTTTTTATACATGTATTAATATATTTGGTATTTAATGCATAGAGGAATCAATATACATGTACCTGTATTTCATTCTAGAGAGACCTTTGTGCCAGTCTCGGAGTCCCTCTTGATATTGACAGTGCTGGTGACCTTCAGGTCAGCTTTTTGATTTGCACTTATGAAGTCAAAAACTTAAAAATGTTGTATTTATTGCATTTTTTTTTAAAGAAAAAAATGTTTAAGTAATGCTGTTGTATATCTTTTCCAGAGGTCTCTATGGAGTTACCTTGGAAATGATGAATTTTCAGGTGCTAGAATGCAGGTTCTTGTCAGTATGTGCTCCAAACCAATGCAGGTATGGCAGCCTTCAAGGTCATCATAAAATCACATGGCACAGTATTTTGAAATTTTTGAAATGAATATTAACACTGAAATAAATTTTTACTTGTTTTACTGTTAGGAAAGCCTGTGGTGTTACTTGCCTTTGACTTAACTTGACCACCCCTATTAAATCACCTACTATCAAATATGTGTATATTTTAGTAAAGGGGTGGTAGAATTTAAAGAAGACAAATAAGTTGTGACAAGCCTCTGTGATGAGTATTGCATAAATATTTTGTATTGTCAGATTGTACAGGAATAAAGTTCATGTATTTCAGAATGCTTTATATTTTTGCACTGGATGCCTGGAGGATGAAGAACTATACAGGCATTATGCCCTAAATGTTCCGCTGTATACCCACTTCACCAGTCCTATCAGACGATACGCTGATGTTATTGTTCACAGAACACTGTCAGCTGCACTAGGTAATAAATCTCAAACAGATGGACAGTTTATCTGTGTGCTTTCCTAACAATGATATTTTTTTTCTTGTTGTGAACATTATTTCATGCTTATTTAAAGATATTAGAAGAAAAGATGCTGTTTGCAGCATTTAATTACTTAAATACAAAAAATCAGAGAGGGAAATGAGATTTCATATTTTTTTAATGATACATTTCTATAAATGAACAGGGTGCAGTCCAGAGATTAATCTGACCCCACAGCAGATTAACAAGCAAGCGTTACAATGTAACGAGAAGAAGACCAACTCCAAACGAGTGCAAGAACTAAGTGTAGATCTCTATTTCTCCATATTTGTCAAGGTAATTTTATTATCCTTAGAATTTAAAATTTTGAAATTGTTTACAAATAAATATTTTGTAACATTGATAGCTCTTCTGATGGTGTATTTACAAGTTGAAGACCTTGGGAAGTTAATGGTCAATAAGCTTTAAAACAGCGACTTGAGAAAATTAATTATTTTTTCTTTAAAAGACATGCATTGTATATAAAAATGTTTCTTAAGATTATGTAGGCCTATTCAACTAATTTTTTAAGTTGCATGATTTTGTAAAAACATTGCATAGATAGATTTATAGGTACATGAAATTATAAAAAAAGGTAATAACTGGACAAGGCTTTTACATCACATCATTAAAAATTTAATCATTTATAATTGACTTTTGATGTTGTGTTTTGTACTACCTTCATTGTTGTGGCAAAATTTAACAATCTCATCTTTAATTTTTATCTGTGTATTTTTTAATTGTCACTCCAGAATATTGTGAATGATTTCTGAATTCGACAATATCTATGAATCTGATCCGTTTTCTAAATTTAATGTGAAGGATGGAAAAAAATGCCTTCACTCTACGTGAAATAACAGGGTAAATTAATATGGATCAGACTATATTCAATAAAATTTAAATTGAACTCTCTTTAGAAACTGGATTATTAAAGAGAAAATTTTATAAAGGAACAGAAGCAGTCTTTATGACCTTCCTATATAAATACACACATAGAGGGGGGAGAGTGTGTGCAGCAATTGATCATCTTATTTGTGTGTGATGGCAGAAGGGGACCGACCAGCATAAAAATGGATGGTAGGTTAGAACTAAGGAGACCTCTGATTTCACTTTTTATTTTAATTATGCCTTTTTAATTATATGTAGACACAAAGAAAGACTTTGCCTTAATTGGGATAATTTTAACATTATGCTAAATTTTAACCACTGGATTCTACTGAGAGCAAAGAAACACTATGGGAAATGCTAAAAACTGCCTTGCGTGTAAACAGTTAGATACCCTGAGCCGTCTGTAAACATGTAAACAATTTTTCATAAAACGCTACTCCTCCTACAAAGGCCTAGATTTCAATATAACTTGGCACACATGTTGACGTACATAAGATACATAAAATAGTGCATCGGTTTTTGATTTCGATGAACGGTGTTGCCATGGTTACTGAAAATAGAATTTTCATCATGAAATTCCTTTAAAACGCTACTCCTGTACAGTTTTAGTCTCATTTCAATATCACTTGGCACACAAGTAGACTACACTAAGATACATAAAATAGTGCATTGGTTTTTGATTTGGATGAACGATGTTGCCATGGTTACTAAAAATAGAATTTTCTGTGAAATTCCTTTAAAAAGCTACTCCTTCTACAGTTTTAGTCTCATTTCAATATCACTTAGCACACAAGTATTTTACACTAAGATACATAAAATAGTGCATAATGGTTTTTGATATTCGATGACCTCGGTGTTGCAATGGTTACTAAAAATAGAATTTTATAAAGAAATTCCTTTAAAACGCTACTCCTTCTACAGTTTTGGAATCTGATTTCATTATCACTTGGCACACAAGTAAACTACACTAATTTACATATAATAGTGCATCGGTTTTTGATTTCAATGAATGGTGTTGCCATGGTTACTAAAAGTCGAATTCTACAGTTTTGGTCTGATTTCAATATAACTTATCACACAAGTAGACTACATAAGATACATAATTCTGTGCATCGATTTTTGATCAGTACAAACCAGTAGAGCTACAGTCTCGACAGAGACTTCTGGTTATATAAGTATAGGTACCTAGAACAAAGATTTGAAAATAAGAAACTGAAAAATAAATGCATTTTTTATGGGTGTAAAATCTTGCAAGATTAATTGACTTACTTTGTTTATCATTTATTACAGGCAACTATAAAACCACCTCACAAGAGAAAGAGACCGACAGATGAGTTGAGTGCTCAGATGGACATTTTAGAACTTAGCTGATTCACAGGACTGTAGAAGGAATTAATACCATATCATTTCAATCCACTATTATGACTTTATTTATTTTAAATTGGGTGTACATGTACAATATATTACATGTACATGTAAATAAACAGGAAATTGAAATTTAATTTCTCTATTTATTTATTTAATTGAAATGACAATTAAAAAATGCCTAGCATATTGCAACTGACTTTTCATTTAATAAAGAGATAAAAAGGTCTCATGTTTTAACATCTGCTGTGAATCAATAAATGAAGGTTTTTCCAGTTAATGCAGACCAAGAAATGGATTTTAACAAGTGTATGTCTGGTTTATTTGTAATCAAGATTGATGGTCCATTATATATACATACAAGTAACTGATAACAAAGACAATAATAAAATGTAAACAACTGTCAAAATACACAAAGCAAAGTACATGTACATTACTGGTTTTATCAAGTAATGAGACAAAACATAACATAGGCAAGAGAGATTAAATAAAACAAAAAAATTACATCTATAGAGAAAATATTAACATAATCTGCTCATGTTTTCATGAACATTGAAGATGTATCCAGTAAAACCTAATAATATAGATAACAAAACACATGAGAGGTGACACAACTCGCAGCACTGATGTCATTTATTGCACAATAGAGAGGAACTGAAAAGTATGCAGTGTACATGTACATGTGCCTGTCCATTTATCAAGTTTAAATATGACCAATCATAAGTAACATATAACAATAAGTTAATTCTTTCGTCATAGGTTAGTCCATGGTGGTTTCCTGTTCATATATAATGTGCATATAATAGTTACAAACAATGTATAAAATATGGCTGTAGATATTCAGAATACCTGGTATTAATACTTTTAATAGACCAATTTTATAATTCAAAATTGTTTACGTGTAAACAGTTGGACATAAATTGACTTCTTATTTGATTTAATAAGTTTGCTAAATAGACTTGGCTTACATATAAGTTTTATCAAAAATTTTCTGATATAAAGTGAGTTATACCTTTAATAAAATAAGTTTTTGCTTTTTTGTATTATATATTTTTTTTATTCAAAGAAAAATTGATGGAGAGGCAAATTCCTCTTCCAATACAGACATCTTAAAAAATGTAAGTTGAATAGGTTTTAAGCAGAGACACAATACAATAGTATGTTTCTACACGTATCAGTACGAATTTTTGAAACTGAAAAAAGAATTAAGTACTGTACATATACCACAAATGTACATGTAGATATGAAAATGGTAATTTTTGCCCTATGAAGTTTTCCATATGAACACAGTGGAGTTATTTAAGGAATCACTGTCTAGATAGTATAGTATGCCAGGGCATCAACGATAATGTTGATGTCCCTGGCATACTATACTAACTAGACAGTGATTCCTTATATTTTCATTTCATTTTGAAATAAAATTGTAGATTTAGACTTTAAAAATGTAGACAAAGACTTAATTACACGAGGACTTCCATGCCAATTTCAATAGTCCTCGCCCACTGACGTCAAACACATAGGCAGCCACACGAGATTTACATGCATATTTGGCCTCCTTAGCATCAGACACAGAGACAGATGCGCACGAGATTTGCATGCATATTAGGCCTCCTTAGCTCCTGACCTATCGACCTCCCTAATTTACATTCCGGCAAAATTATCAAGAAATAAACTCCGAGAACTTTCAAAGAGTTATCACAGAGAAAAAAAATTAGAAATGGAAATATTGTACCTTAATACCTGTATTAACTAATAACATTTGAGATAGTGTACAAAAAGTAGTAGCAAATTTTCATAAATTAATGAAAGAAAGTTAGCTTAATTAAGATTGCTGCTCAAGCAAGTACGAAAGAAATACTACATGACCCTTAAAAAAAGGAACAAGAAAATAAAATTTATGAACTACATGTAATATGTCATCAACTAAAGAACAAGGTGTATTCCCATACCACACTGATGAAAGACTAGCATGAGTTATGTTTGGCAGAAAACACTCAAAAAAAAAAAAAAAAAAGAACTCCTTCTGAAGGACATAAATAAACTATACTGAAAATGTCCTGAATGTTTTCTTTAAGGTGTAAGACACACTTGAAACTTGGGTCAATTTCCTCTTGCTTCAATGTTGAAATACATGTCCTTGACCCCTGCTTTAGATGTCCATGACCCCTGCTGCAGAAATAGAATTGATGCCTAAAGATCCATTGTGAGTTGAACTCATTGTTTTGACTGCATTCAGGACCTCGTTTACTGTCACTTCTACAGACCTGGAATTATAATGAGTTATACTACTTGTATACATTTCGTAATAGGCATAACATTTACAATTCAGAAGTTCAAAGTGTACACAATTTGTAAGCGTTGACTGAAAGAGTACTTTTAATTAAAAGCTACTGATCAATATTTTGAATCATGGTTGATTTATATGGATCATTTGACATAAAAGTAAAAACTATCTTTAATAACTTTAACCAGTTATTCTTGAAATGAACATTTCTGCAGTACTGAATTTATTTCTGTATATTCTTGTATACAGGTTAATTTTCACCTCGCTTTATTTTTGTACTTGCAAACAATATTGTCTCATCTTAAGTTTGCCCAGTCACAACTCTGTTCAAGAAATTATACTGTATTCTTTGACTTTGCCACATCTTAAATTTCGCCCAATCAAGGGTAGGGCGAAAATAAATCTGGGGCAAAAATTTCTCTGTATACAGTCAGATTCTTTGTTGTACATGTATATCAAAATATTTTGTTGTCAAGAATGAATTTATAAATTTTTTTTCTTCGCTTATCAAAAAAAAATTTGTGACATAAAGTTAGCTCCTTTATTACAGAAATTTTAAAACTGGCATTCAATATTTCACAGATAATGTAAAGCAAGATGTTCTTGTGATCTCCACTAAGTTTATGCTTTTGGCTTTTTTTTATTTAATGAAATTTCCAGAGTTTGTGAAAGCTTACCCCCAGTTCTGAGTGGACTCGGCCACTGTTGTAGTGTGAATTTCTATCTGTTTCTGTAAACCACTGATCTCGGATCGGAGCGAACTCAAACAGCTCTGTAGATTGTCCAAAGGTCTTAAAAAACAAAGACAAGAGTAAGTTTGTTGTCTGAACTCATTCTGGGCAGGACAAAACAGTTCACTAAAATGTCTACATTTACATGTATGAAAAATATCACTTGCTGTATTCTAAAGCAAAGAAAAAGTTTTCTGTTACTAACATAATGCTTATATATAGTTTATATACTGTAACTACATGTACAAGATGTGTAAACATGACATATAAATGGACATCATTTTTCTTGGAAACTTACTTGCTTGCCAAAGCCTTGGCAGATGTTTCCTGAAGTAACCTCTCAACGGCATCCAGGTCAAAGGGCAAAGGTGGAATAATGATGTCACGGTTTTCTACCTGTGTCCCAGCATCCTTTGTTGAATCAGAATTGTCGTTTATTCTTTTTGTGAGCTGCAAGAAATTAAAAGAGCTGTCTAAATATTTATCATTTTAAATATTTTTATGACAGAAAAGTTCATTTAAAAATAAAAACTCCTCTTAAAAAAAAGTTGGATCTTTGAAGCCCTTTAAATTTGTACTGTAAAAGTTCTTTTTTCTGAGTGGTATTAATTTTACCCTAATTTGACTCCATTACTAAATGTACATTAAGGCATATAGTGGCAATCTAAAAAAACCAAGTAATCTACATGTACTTTCCAATTGACCAGAAATTGTGATTCCATGGAATCATAAGTAATTTACAGTATATCAGATTCCAAGATTATCTGACTTCATTTTTGACTACAGTACCTTGTGGTGTTGGACCGAGGCCTTGAGGGTGGTCCGGAGTTCTGTCACCTGGGCCTGCTGTTCTGCCTTCTCTCTCTGGGCTGTTCCCAGTTCCTCCCTCAGACTTTCTAATTCTGATTGGTTGTCCTCGATCGTCTTCCTCAGACTGTCAATCTCCACCTGCTGTCGCTGTTCCGTCATTTCCATCGTCTGCTGAATGGCTGCCACCTCTTTGTTTTTCTGGCTGATCTGCCACTGTAAGCTCTGTTGAATTTATATGATAAATTATTAATGTTTTTGATATACATGTATCATTAAAACTTTTTAAAGTTGTCTAATTTGGACACAAATGGTTTCATTGAAAATTGGCTACATTAGACAGAATTCCAGATTAGGCAACATTTTTAACATTTGAATTTACTCAAAGGAACTAAAAATTCTCTTCATATTAGACAAGATGTTGGAGTACATAACATCTGGACTAAACAAATTTCACTGTAGATAGTATTGTATCTTCATGTCTCTCTTAGTTAAAATTCATAGTGTATTCATAGAAAAGTGCCTTTCACACTCGCTTTATTCATTACTCATTAACCTGAATTTGCTCTTGAAGTATTGGTTCCTTGGCAAGGTTGTCGGCAAGTTCTACTTTGGCTTTTTCTAAATCATGTCGTAGGTGTCTGTTCTCAGTTTCCAGTTGGTTTATTTGACTCGTCTTTCCTTGTTGCTGGCTGTTGCTGCTCTCTAACTTAGATCTCAGGTCCTCAGATTCTTGTGTTTTGAGATCTAAATCCTGCTGTAAGATCTCTTTTTCATTCTTCAGGGAATCTAAATTTCTCCTTATTTTTTTGTTTTCTGTAATTTTAACACCAATCTGAAAAGAAAATGGCATGTTTGTTTTATTTTCACAGAAAAGAATGCACATCAAGAAACAAATCATATTAACCATTATAGAAATTTAAACTTTGAAAATTATATTGCCACTTCTTACAAACTACATGTAGTATAAATATGCACATCCACTTACATGCATACATTTACAACATTTTCATTTGAATAACAGTACATAACTTTAAAACAATTTTATCTTAAACAGCTGCCAAAGAAGTTTCAAATGTTTGACTTCTGAAGGTGTTAATACAATCTACTGCACAATAACATAAAATACACTAAATCTCAATTCAAGTTCCTTTAAGAAGCATTTCTCCTTGCTGACCAAATTC